ATTCCTAAGGTTCCTAACATGTAAACCTAACTAATTTATATTTTATAATCTCACAGGTATCATCATTGGGGGGTTAATTGATATTTCTACGACTTCTGTGTGTAATTTCTTACTCCAAGATTTAACCTTCTAACTTACTAAAATCTTTGAGCCTCCTTACATCGCTGCACACAATTTATTGATATATCTAACCTACTTCTGAAGTTCTTAGATAGGACTTTTAAGATTAAGTATATTACGGTTCATCTATTAACAATAGAATCTTAAAATACAAATATGAATAATCTATGCGCAAAAATGTCTACATTAAATCGTTAAAAAAAAAACAAAAATTTAATGAATTTAATTTTCCCATTGGAAATAAAAACAAGAGTACTAGCTTATTACACCAATAAAGACAATAATACAATAATCATATAGTTTACACAATTAAAGTATAAAAATAAAAAAAAAAAAAAAGAAAAAAGAAAAAACGAAAAAAAAAAAAGACAGAAAAAGAAAACAAAAACAGCTATTAAACTTCCTTATAAATAAATGTTTCCAAATAGAGTAGGGATAACCAACAGATATACCTTTAGGCAAATCAGAAGTAAAAAAAAAAAAAAATTAGATGCTACTTATGGAAAACAGAAAAAAAAAATACAACCAGCATTTTGATTTACACATAACTTTTCAGGAACTCATCTCTTTCAGGCCAAGAGGATATCAAACTTCAAGGGTTATCAAAGAGAGAAATTCAATTCAACAAAATGTTTTTGTGTTTGCTCAAGAATTATTCCACTGGCCGGGCGCGGTGGCTCACAGCTGTAATCCTAGCACTCTGGGAGGCAGAGGCCAGTGGATTGCTCAGAGTTCCAAACCAGCCTGAGCAGAGCGAGACCCCGTCTCTACTATAAATAGAAAGAAATTAATTGGCCAACTAAACACATATACGTATATAAAAAAAAAAATTAGCCAGGAATGGTGGCACATGCCTGTAGTCCCAGCTACTCGGGAGGCTGAGGCAGGAGGATCGCTTGAGCTCAGGAGTTTGAGGTTGCTGTGAGCTAAGCTGATGCCATGGCACTCTAGCCAGGGCAACGAAAGTGAGACTCTGTCTCAAAAAAAAAAAAAAAAAAAAAAAAAGAATTATTCCACAGACTAATCCTGCTATTTCCTACCTTAGTCAAGGGCTCAAAACTCAGGACAAAGTTCCTTATTTGTTCCAAAAAAGACCAAACGAGGCCAAGCGACCCCAGCTTTCAAACTCTGTCACCTACCTCTCTCCTTTTTTCCCTACCCTTTCTCACTACACCCAGCTAAGCCAGGGACCTGCAGGGGAGAGCCTCTGCTACACACATGTGACAACGCTCCCGTTCCCGTCACACCACAAGCCCAGAGCGGCAGAAGGATCTCGGCCCCAAGAGTGGAGACCCCGACGGTCACGAAGCCCATACAGGCAGAGCTGGCACAGGGACGTTCAAATGACGTGGAGCCCAGGGAGAACACTGGACAAAGAGGGCAAAGTCATGGGCGTCCTCCTCAGACCAACAACAACGTGACCTGATCATGCAGTCAGATAATAATTGACAAGAATTCTGGAATCTGGCTTCCCTGTTAGTTCCCCAGATCCGAGACCCATGATTATTGCGAGTGGCTCACTCTGATTACTTTTGGCCACATGAATTCACAGGAAGAGCTCAAATAGTCATATTTGCTCACAGTTTGCAGCTCATCCTCTGCAGAGACAAAGGAAATTTTGCTGCTAAATTAACTGAAGTCCAGAAATGAACAAATCAGAGCTGTGGCCCCCTTGCACTTAACTCGACTATTCTATTCTACAGAACATTCATTTTCTCTGCAAAAAAAAAAAAAAAAATTTTTTTAAGGTGCTAAAATTTGCAATTCTGTGAGTTAAAGGCTTGGCATGGCTTTGGCTGTGGGTTTAATCTGAAAACTGCTCGGTGTTTAGGAACAAAATGATTCAGGGTGTTTGTCAGCTGTGTTGCTATCGGAATAACTTGTACTTCTACTTAGAGAAAATCCCTGGTGTTAGAAATGGAGTGGGTGCTCTCTTCTCTCTAGTGAAAGGGGTACTATTTAGGAGAAAATAAAACCTGAATTCTTTCCTCCATTTTCAACCAGAAAAAGGAAATTTCTTGGAGAGTCAAGGCTTTCTCATAAGTATTGCAATCAGTATTAATGGGAGTGTGCCACTCTGCAGGACCATGTGATCCACATTTTTCATGAAGGTAACACTAAACCAGCACCAGACATTTGCTGCTTGGACACAGCAAACCCTAAAGCAATTATATTTGAACTTTCCAAGTGCAAATGTAATCCAAGAGGAACAGGGAGGGAAAGCACAATTGGCATTATTGCATTGGCCTGGAATAAACAGATTTCATCAATGATAGTTTTCAATAAGTCAAGTGCCAGCAGTTCTGGGCTGACTCCCCTGGGCTTATATTAAAGAGAAATGGGGCTGGGCGTGGTGGCTCACGCCTGTAATCCTAGCACTTTGGGAGGCTGTGGCGGGCGGATTGCTCAAGGTCAGGAGTTCAAAACCAGCCTGAGCGAGACCCCGTCTCTACCAAAAATAGAAATAAATTAATTGACCAACTAAAAATATATTTAGAAAAAATTAGCCGGGCATGGTGGTGCATGCCTGTAGTCCCAGCTACTTGGGAGGCTGAGGCAGTAGGATCGCTGAGCCCTGGAGATTGAGGTTGCTGTGAGCCAGGCTGACGCCACGGCACTCACTCTAGCCTGGGCAACAAAGTGAGACTCTGTCTCAAAAACAAAACAAAACAAAACAACAACAACAACAAAAAACCTCTGTTCTAGATTGTAACATTGCAAGGTCTTCTAACTATCTGCTCACTTACACTCTTGATTTTGTGTCTGTCCAGCTTCTATTAAGGAGCTGCAATCATAAAATCAGGAATAGGTGGAAATATGGGTCCCTGATCCAAGAGTAATTAAAATTTAAAGTTTCCCTCAAAACATTTACAATAATGGTAATACACATTCACAGCAACTACAAACACAAGTCTCCAAAATAGATATTTGCATGATCCAGCTGTGGTTTCCTGAAACATCCTTAAATAAATGGGAAGTAGGGTACATTTTTTGTCCTCTGGTTCTTCCAAGAGAGGTTGTAGGGGGGATTTATGAAGAAGAAACATGAAGAGAAACAAAAAAAAAGTCTTCATTAGAGTGAAAATCTGAAATAGTTACAAATCAAGACAGTGGAATCTCCATTTTCTCTCCACTGCATGGGATAATTCAAATTCCCCGTTCCCCAGAATCAGGCAGACTGGACTGACCTTTTCATTATTTGCTACTGGTGGTCTCTAGCCTTAGCCTTCCTAGTCACTTTTTCAAACAATTTCCGGTGAAAGCATCTTAAAGTGCCAAGAATGGAAGATAAAGAAGTCAGGAATGACACACAGTCAGTTTCAACAACTAATGCTCTCAATCACATTAAGAGTTAACAAGTCGCGCCGGGCGCGGTGGCTCACGCCTGTAATCCTAGCTCTCTGGGAGGCCGAGGCGGGCGGATTGCTCAAGGTCAGGAGTTCAAAACCAGCCTGAGCAAGACCCGTCTCTACTATAAATAGAAAGAAATTAATTGGCCAACTGATATGTATATAAAAAATTAGCCGGGCATGGAGGCACATGCCTGTAGTCCCAGCTACTCGGGAGGCTGAGGCAGGAGGATCGCTCGAGCCCAGGAGTTTGAGGTTGCTGTGAGCTAGGCTGACTCCACAGCACTCACTCTAGCCTAGGCAACAAAGCGAGACTCTGTCTCAGAAAAAAAAAAAAAAAAAAAGAGTTAACAAGTCAATTCCCAAAGATGAAGGCAAAGAAAACATGAAATGAAATGAGTGTCATTCTATATCTGAAATGCAACCCAGTGTGTGTGAATGGGGCTTACAAAAGTTCTAGAAGAAGCCGGGCGCGGTGCCTCACGCCTATAATCCTAGCACTCTGGGAGGCCGAGGGGGGCGGATTGCTCAAGCTCAGGAGTTTGAAACCAGCTTGAGCAAGAGCGAGACCCAGTCTCTACTATAATATAGAAAGAAATTAATTGTCCAACTAATATATATAGAAAAAATTAGCCGGGCATGTTGGGGCATGCCTGTAGTCCCAGCTACTCGGGAGGCTGAGGCAGGAGGATTGCTTGAGCCCAGGAGTTTGAGGTTGCTGTGAGCTAGGCTGACACCACAGCACTCACTCTAGCCTGGGCAACAAAGCAAGACTCTGTCTCAAAAAAAAAAAAAAGTTCTAGAAGAGCATGCTGTATCCCACAAAAGCACATTTGGGCATCCTGGTTAGACATAATTTGGATTAAAATCATTATTATGGCAAATAAGGTTGTATGGGGACTTGTGCATAATGAAGAATTAATTTATAGACAGATAAATTATCATGGATTTTATCAGATAAGCTAGTTAAAGTGAGTGAAACCTAAGCTAAGCCAACTTAGAAAGCAAAGGGAAATACCCCTGCTTTTGCCTCCAACTTTAGCTGGGGGAATCTTGTAGGTGAAGACCCACTCAAATTGTAGGTCTAAGCTTCTCCTCTTAAAATTTCTCAGTCAGATGTTCAGCTGAACCTCTAGGGGAGGAATTTACCCAGCTAGGACCCTCACCAATTTCTTTCCAGGTCTCAACAGATTAATAGTGAAATCTTTGTAGCTAAATGCTGAAGGCAGTTTTTTTGTTTTTTTAGAGATGGTTTGTCACCTAGGCTGGAATGCAGTGATGTGATCATAGCTCACTGTAACCTTGAACTCCAGGGGGCTCAAGTGATCTTCCTGCCTCAGCCTCCCAAGTAGCTAGGACTACATGCCTATCTAACTTTTCTATTTTTTGTAGAGATGGACTCTGGCTATATTGCATAGGCTGGTCTTGAACTCCTGGCCTCAAGTGATCCTCCTGCCTTGGCCTCCCAAAGTGCTGGGATTACAGGCGTGAGCCACTGGGCCCAGCCAGATTCTTATAGTAAGTACATACCTGTGGCAGTTTCACATCATTAATATCCCAGCTTAGCATGTCTTTGTCTTCAGAATCAAAGTCATCAGGTTCCATGATAAGGTCAAGCCACCCAAGGTATTTTATCTATTCGACTCCTCTCAGAAGTGCTTGAGAATTTTGCTCTCAAAGGTTCCTGACAGAGTTGGATCAGTCCACTTTAGCAGTTAAGAGCAGGAAACTGTTGTCTGAGGCTAAAAAAATAAATGAGATTAATATCGACCATTAAAAAGATAAAAAGCAGTGCTTGTCTGCCAGAAAAAACTTATTTCATTAACATTTTTGCAAGTACCAACATATTAACAAAAAACAAAACTTAGAAGCCATTAACGATCTTGTTGAAATAAAGCTTGACCATAGGGAATTAGAAGCCTGTGATGGTTGCTTTCTCATTGCAAGATCAAGGTTGTGAAGGTGTTAGTAGGGGCCGCTGTCATCTGTAACCAATGGTTAGGATCTTTTACTCTATAAACCTGTGTTGGGGCAGGAGGAGCGCTGACTTGGAGTTGTTTCCACAGAAACGTCTCCATGAATTTGTTAACAATAGTCAAAGTTACAAGAGGGGAACATCTAGTAGTATTTGTTTTTAAACCGAAATTGCCATAAAGATTAATTATGGTCTAGGCCGGGCGTGGTGGCTCACGCCCGTAATCCTAGCACTCTAGGAGGCCGAGGGGAAAGGATCGCTCAAGGTCAAGAGTTCGAAACCAGCCTGAGCGAGACCCCGTCTCCACTAAAAATACAAAGAAATTAATTGATCAACTAAAAATACATCTAGAAAAAATTAGCCGGGCATGGTGGTGCATACATATAGTCCCAGCTACTTGGGAGGCTGAGGCAGGCAGTAGGATTGCCTGAGCTCAGTAGTCTGAGGTTGCTGTGAGCTAGGCTGATGCCACGGCACTCACTCTAGCCTGAGCAACAAAGTGAGACTCTGTCTCAAAAAATAAATAAATAAATAAATAAATAAAAGAGATTAATTTTGGTCTCCTCAATAAATCCTGTGTGCACTGTATATCTTCAAATATAATCAACTGATATCCTTATATCAGATTGCTTTGAAACAGGGTTTCTTAACCTTGGCACTATTGACATTTTGGACCAGATAATTCTTTGTCGTGGAAGGCTATCGTGCACAGCATAGCACGTTTGGCAGCATCCCTGGTCCCTATGCGCTAGGTGCTAGTGGCAGTCCTCCCTCAGTTGTGACAATCAAAAATATCTTCAGGCAAATGTCCAGGGGGGTATAAAATTGCCTATTTGAGAACTGCTGCTTTACAATAGTATTTATCTTTCTCGACCTTTGTTTAGCCTAGGGCACCCTTCAAGACATTTTGACTTTATCTTTAGCTATATTCCTCTATCAACCCCTCAAGAAGATTGTCTCACTTCTTCGATTAAATTGCATTATGTAGATGATATTCAAAAACATTTGTTTAAATTGAGTTTCTTTCCTCACCAGAAATACTACTGTGATTTCTAACTATAAGTGGCTAAAGGGAATTTACAAAGGAAAGAAAGCAAGAAAGAAAGGAAGGAAATGTTCTCTACTTAGGAAAAAAAAAAAGAATAGTTTTTTTTTGTTTTTTGTTTTTTGCTTTTGAGACAGAGTCTCACTTTGTTGCCCAGGCTAGAATGAGTGCCATGGCATCAGCCTAGCTCACAGCAACCTCAAACTCCTGGGCTCAAGCGATCCTTCTGCCTCAGCCTCCCGAGTAGCTGGGACTACAGGCATGTGCCACCATGCCCGGCTAATTTTTTCTATATATAGTAGAGACGGGGTCTCACTCTTGCTCAGGCTGGTTTCGAACTCCTGACCTCGAGCAATCCACCCGCCTCGGCCTCCCAGAGAGCTAGGATTACAGGCGTGAGCCACTGCGCCCAGCCAAAAAGAATAGTTTTGCAGATGCGATGTGCTTATTAGTAGGATACGAAGCGAAACATGTTCATGTGTTATCACACTTCCATTTGTTGGTGCTTTTATAAAAAACAAGGGATATGCTGATTTTATGTAGAGCGGCTCAACAGTAAACTCAAACTACAAGTTAGATTTATAGTCTAAACTTTATAGCAAGACCCACGAACTCTGTTTTTTAGTTATTTAGCTTTATATAATCCTAATATTTGTCAATCACTGGGCTCTACTGAGGGAATGTGTGTGTGTGTGTGTATAGAAGACTGTTGACCTGAGCATATAAATGAAGTTCTCGACCATTAAATAACAAGCTAAACTGAGTCCCTGACCTCCCTATCCCACTCAGCCGTACTCAGCGACAACCTAGTGGTCACAGACTCAGAGGGCATAAATTTCGTGTTCCCCAGTTCAGCACTGATGTTTCAAGACTAAATCCCCATCATTTTAAGTAAAATTCTATTGAGTTACTGAAGAAATGATGCCCACAGATTGACTTTAATTCAAAAGACCTAAATAACGAGTACAGAAGACGCAAATAGCAAGCAGCAGTTTTATGTACTTACCTCTTTGAACGGTAACAACCAAAACTCTGGTGGTCCAGCTTTTGTTAAAACGAATCGGAATACACTTTTAAAAAACCTTTGAAAACAAGATTCATATTTTCAAAAATCAAAAACATTGCTATACGCCTAGGCAATGTACACACAATTCTTTTGTTTTTAAATTAAGGAGAGAAAGAAGAATTAAAAAAAATCATACTGCAGAAAAACATTTTAGATTTTTGTCTTAATATCGACTTTTGCCAAATCAATAAGCATTAATTTCATATTTCCCAGAAAGTTAAGAACGAACCATAAAAAAGAACAAAAGACTGTTTTATAGCTCTTAAACAAATAAACTCATTTTCCTCTAGGATAGAAACCTAAAAAATTGTGAAGACTTCTTTTTCTTTTAGAGTACATTGGCCAAAGTCTACTGCATTTACATCATTTCTATGGAAAATGAACTAGAACAAGTGACACCCTGTAGGAACGGAATGGCCACTGCCACATCTTTTCCACTTGCCTCTCCACAGGATTTCGGGCTTCCTTACCTTCCGACTTCTTACGTGAAATGCAGACAACAGCGTGTCATGAAAATCTCATGTCTGGTTCAGGTCCCAGCAGGCTCTGGTCATTTTAGGAGCAGACGCGCCGTTCCCTACTCCAGGTCAGGGTACACTATGCTAATGAGCGCTGGCCACGGTCCAATCAAAATCTAGATGCTCTCGGGCTAGGGATAGGTAAGAGCCGGCTGGGGAGTCACTTAACCAGCCTGATTCTTCTCAGAATGCCAGCAATGTGATGAATATTCCGTGGCGTGCCTCTGAACTTTCTCCCCTTTATGTTTAAGAGTACATTTTTAACTAAAATGAGCATTGAAAAGAATCTCATGAAGAAGACAGATGTTTTTCTTCTCCTAATGTTAGGGGACCCAAGGCAGACTGGTTCGCAGAGGATCCTACTTCTCCCACTATCTACCCTGCTTGTGTGCTAGAGAGAGAAAGAAGGCAGACAGAGGTAGAGAGATACTATGGTGAGGGAATTTACTGGAAGATATAGCAGACAGCCAACTTCTCCTAAACCAGGAATGACAAAATGCTATCCTATCCCTAGCAATGATTTACCACTAACTCTGAGTGTTCTCGTCCCCTCAAATATATAATTCTTCCTTCTAGAAATATCCTCGGCACAGCCCGAGTCAGTTCAGTTTATCTGCTATGTCTGCGAGGCTCTGGAGATACAAGGGAGAACTAAAGCCATTAAGAAGTCCAGTCTAGGGCGGACTTGGTGGCTCACCCCTGTAATCCTAGCACTCTGGGATGCCAAGGCGAGAGGATCGCTCAAGGTCAAGAGTTTGAAACCAGCCTGAGCAACATCAAGACCCCATCTCTACTAAAAAATAGAAAGAAATTAATTGACCAACTAAAAAAAAATATATATATATAATTAGCCGGGCATGTTGGTGCATGCCTGTAGTCCCAGCTACTCGGGAGGCTGAGGCAGGAGGATTGCTTGAGCTCAGGAGTTTGAGGTTGCTGTGAGCTAGGCTGATGCCACGGCACTCTATCCAGGGCAACAGGGTGAGACTCTGTCTCTAAATAAATAAATATCCGGTCTAATAAAAAAGGTGAACAAAGATATTAAATAAATTAAATGTAATTTGATGTATAGAATAGAGGCAGTCTCAAAGTAATGTAGAGGAAAAAGTTATTAAGCTGGAGGGAGGATTGGGGGAAACTCACCAAAACGATGCCTGATTGGCTTTCTGAAGAACAAATATTAATAGATATGTCTCAAGGCACCAAGGAATGGAAGAGGGTGTTTGAGGCAGTGGCAGGATCATGGACAGCATGACTAGGGGTCAGTGCCCGTCGTCCAGACTGTTACAGGCAAAGCTTGGCAGGAGGGAATGAGCATAATGGAAGGGAAAAACTTGGGCAGCCTCATAGTCATGTGGGGCAGCCATAATAGCCCTCTGGTGACGCTGGTCTTTCGGTTCACGAATGAACTCCTCTTCTGCCTGGAGTTTAAGGCCCTGCATGATTTTCTTGCACCTTGTCTGACCAATGTCGGTCTCCTCTGTGGTCTTTTCCTTGGTCAGAAGGATCTTTCTCCATCCCTCAAACAAACTGTTATCAGTACAAAGCCTATGATTGTGCTACCTGGTAAAAGAGAAATGTCTACAGGCTCTAGCTCCAGAGTCACAGAGAAAGGCAAAGAGTAGACTTAGAGCTGAGAGGCAATAAGCTGCTAATAGGCACGTCCATCATGCTCACCCACTTGCTTAGGGGCTCTCTAGAATGTCTCTCCCACCCATACATCTAAATCCGAGCCATCCTGCAGGATCCCTGAAATGCCACCTCCTTGTGACACCTTCCCACACTAGTCTAGAACACGTAATTTATTTCTGGGGCATTCCAGGACCCTTAATTCTGAATTATATGCTAATTTATATCGCTTAGGACTAACACTTTTTTTCTAATTACAAAACAAATTCAAGATTAAAAAAAATAAAGTCATATTCTCATCTCCCATAGATTCCCACTGCTAACATTTCGGTCGTGGCCTTTCAGACTTTTGTTTTCCCCTATGTGCATAACCAAACAGATATTATCTGCATAGTTATAACCCTACTGTACATACTATTGTTTTCTTTTTTTGTTTTTTTGAGACAGAGTTTCTCTCTGTCGCCAAAGCTAGAGCACACTGGCGTCATCATAGCTCACAGCAACCTCAAATTCCTGGGCTCAAGCTATCCTCCTGCCTTAGCCTCCCAGGTATCTGGGACTATAGGGGCACAACACCACGCCTGACTGATTTTTCTATTTTGTGTAGAGATGGGGTTTCGCTCTTGCTCAGGCTGGTCTTGAACTCTGGGCCTCTAGCAGTCCTCCTGCCTCAGCCTCCCAGAGTGTTAGGATTATAAGCATGAGCCACTGCACTCAGCTGCTGTTGCTTAATTGTTGATGAGTGCTGGTCATAGCTTCCCAGCAGGGCTGCTAGTTCCTTCATGACAAAGTTGATATCTGCCACTTTCCTTCTTCTCCTCACAGAGAGACCTGCTGATTCTCAACTGCAGCAGAGCCATCTTTGTCCCCAGAACCAGCTCTACTCTGACCTAGGAGGAAACTGAGGGCTTTATCTCAATACTCTGATGGAGCTATGACATTATGTCCCAGATTGGTGATGGCATATTTGTTCTCTTAAGGCCAAGAACCCAACCTATTACCTGAATTCTTCTAATTGGATCTGTCATCATTTTTTTTTTTTTCTTTTTGAGACAGAGTCTCACTCTGTTGCCCTGGCTAGAGTGAGTGCCGTGGTGTCAGCCTAGCTCACAGCAACCTCAAACTCCTGGGCTCAAGCGATCCTTCTGCCTCAGCCTCCAAGTACCTGGACTACAGCATGTGCCACCATGCTTGGCTAATTTTTTCTATATATATTTTTAGTTTGCTAATTAATTTCTATTTTTAGTAGAGATGGGGGTCTCACTCTTGCTCAGGCTGGTTTCGAACTCCTGACTTTGAGCGATCCCCACCTTGCCTCCCAGAGTGCTAGGATTACAGGCGTGAGCCACCACACCCGGCCTTGTCATCACTATTAATAACAATAATCATTGGCAGCTGCCCTTGACTGAACACTTACAATGAGTCAGGTGCCACGCTGGGCGCCTCCTGTATTATCACACTACATCCATACAGCACCCTACCAGGGAGCTACTATTCTTATGATGCCGCTTTTATGGAGGAGGAAATCCAGGCTCAGAGCAACAGTATCGCACACGTGTCTGAGTGGCAGAGCTGGGGCAGAATGCAGACACAGGCCTGTTGACCACAGTTCTGCACGAGGAGCCCTGTGCTGTCAATGTCTGGAGTACGTCTCAGCTCCTGGACCCTCAGAGTTCCATGTCACTCTTTCCATTCTGTGCCTCCACCCTGGACACAGAAATCCTGCTTAAGCCGGGTTGCTAAAGGCCCTGTTGCTTGGTAACTGACCTCAACCACCAACGATTGGATTTCTCAGGATCCAATCTTCCATTCCGTACCCCTGTGTATGATGATCATCACAGTTTTTTCTTCTTCTTCTTCTTTTTTTTTTTAGACAGAGTCTCACTTTGTTGCCGGGCTAGAGTGAGTGCCGTGGCGTCAGCCTAGCTCACAGCAACCTCAAACTCCTGGGCTCAAGCAATCCTCCTGCCTTAGCCTCCCAAATAGCTGGGACTACGGGCATGTGCCACCATGCCCGGCTTATTTTTTCTATATATATATTAGTTGGCCAATTAATTTCTTTCAATTTTTAGTAGAGACGGGGTCTCGCTCTTGCTCAGGCTGGTTTCAAACTCATGACCTCGAGCAATCTTCCCGCCTCGCCTCCCAGGGTGCTAGGATTACAGGTGTGAGCCACCGCGCCCAGCCTATAGTTCTTCTTCAACAGTGGTGCTGTTGACTGGGCGCAGTGGCTCACACCTGTAATCCTAGCACTCTGGGAGGCCAGGTGGGTGGATCGCTCAAGGAGGAGTTTGAGACCAGCCTGAGCAAAATGAGACCCCATCTCAACTAAAAAATAGAAAGAAATTAGCTGGACAATAAAAAAAAAAATTATATATATATATGTCAATTTAGCTAGGCATGGTGGTATATGCTTGTAGTCCCAGCTACTCGGGAGGCTGAGGCAGGAGATTGCTGAGCCCAGGAGTTTGAGGTTGCTGTCAGCTAGGCTGATACCACGGCACTCGAGCATGGGCAACAAAGTGAGACTGTCTCCAAAAAAAAAACCAAAAAAACAGTGGTGCTGTAAACATCTTAGGCAGGATAGTTCTTCTTTGTGTATGACTGTCCCATGCACAGAATCCAGACACTAGATGCCAGCCACATCCCGTCACAGTGTTGATCATGCGGCTGCCCTCCCACTTAACAGCTCAGAGGCCCAGGGAGACAGAGCAGCATTGTGCTGTCTCTGGTTCCAGACAAGGGTATACCAGCCTCTCAGGGCTGTTGGGTTGTTTGCTCAGACTACGTGCCACCTGTGGTGTCCAAATCACGGCCTTGAGATACCTATTCTATCTAAAGGATGAACTTCTTCTGCACTCACTACTTGTTACCCTCCCAGTTTCTACCCTATCTCAATGGATGTTCAGGCTCTAGTTTCACCAACCTGGCCAGTCCCTCTACTGTGTGCTTTTATTTAACACTTATTATGTGTCAGGCATTGTTCCAAACACTTAATCCTCATAACCACCTTATGAAATATAGTATTTTAAATTGACACATAAATTTTATAGTATTTATTGCTACATGATATTTGGTCACATGCATAGGCTGTGTAATGATCAAGTCTGGTGTCCATAATAATTTATCATAATTCATATCATATCCTCAATAATTTCATTTGTATGTGTTGGGAACATCTCATTCCTCTCTTCTAGCTAATTTGAAACAAGGCTGGGCGCAGTGGCTCACGCCTATAATCCTAGCACTCCGGAGGCTGAGGCGGGAGGATGGCTCAAGTCATAAGTTCAAAACCAGCCTGAGCAAGAGCCAGACCCCGTCTCTAATAAAATAGAAATTAATTGGCCAACTAAAAATATATAGAAAAAATTAGCTGGGCATGC